GTGGTCGCCCAAACACCATTGAGAAAGATATGGCCCTGTTTAGGCCATCAGGTTAGATAGTAGCAGAGCCAAAACGGAAAACTAAGCACTCTGGGCTTGTGGTCCAGTGAGCCTGGTAGGTACTTTCTCACATCAGAGGAATTTATTATTGTGAAAAGAAAATACTTCCTGTGAGAAATCATTAATAGTTTTCTAAAATTGTTTTTATCAAAAAGGATGAGCTCTGAGATGATGAAACAAATTCCAAGCATATCAATGACATTCAACTGTTGTATAACCACATTTCTAAGGAATTTGCAGAGTGACAAATGACTTCACAGAAACATTTGTTTCTGGCTGCATACTTTCTAAGCAGGCTTCAGAGGAAATGTTGATTCAAGAATGCAAAAGAGACTGATGATCTGAACTGGTTGGCATGAGGACAATCTTATGTAAATGACTGGATCAGAGAAAAAGGTAAATGTTTATGCCACACCCCTTCCTATCTGAGTCAAACAATATGGGCGGCCTATATCCAGAAAATAGGCCTTGGAGTGGAGGGCGGCTCTGTCTGACTCTGACACACTTACAAAAGGGAAAGTAGCGGTCAGACCTTCCTGATCAGAAAATCAAGTGGGTAGGAAATTAGCAAATTAATGTACTCATCCTCCCACACAGGTGGCAGGTGAGGGTTTTGGAAGCAGTTTGAAGTAAACAGTGCACTGCACAAGGTGTCAGAGAACCTGGGTTCCAGTCCTAGGTCTGTCACCATTGTTCTAGTTGTGCCACTGTGGGCAAGTTACTTAACCTCTCTGGTTGGGCTTCGGTTTCCTTCTCCATAAACTGAGAGCATCTGACTACATCTTCTCCAGCTCTTCTGTTTTCCAAGGATCCCTATTCAAATGTCTACAGCGATCATTCTCAACATAAGGAAATTTTCTGCCCCCCAGCCAAAGGACATTTGGCAATGTCACACTGATTGTCACAACAGAGGGGTAGGTGCTACTGGCATCTGGTAAGTATATGAATGCTGCTAGACAGCCCAAAATACACAGGACAGCCTCTCCACAACAAAGAATTACCCAGCCCCAAACGTCAACAGTATGGAAGTTGGAAAACACTAACTGAAGGGACAATATAATGATGAACCCATTTCAGTTCATTATTGTCATGTTGTCAAATCCTTTGGCTGTTTAAGAGAACTTGAAATTTTGGATCTTTATGTAAATATCCCCAATTTAAAATACAGCAACATGTCAAATTTTTAAAATAAAACACTCTAGAGGCCAAATAAAACAGGGCTTCAGGACAAATTCTGTCTGCAAGCTGTCAGTTTGTGGAATCTTATTTAGCCACATACTGTCCAAGTAATTAATGTAGTTTCGCTGAAAGCATGGATTCCTCCATCTGCATCTGGTTATCTGAGCTAGAGCTAAGCAGGTCAAGGTTAATCCACATTGTGCTCACACACATGTGCGATGTAGTGGAAAAAACACTAAATGAAACATCTAGAGATGTTGCTGCTTACCATCTGTCATCTTGGAGGAGTCATTAAATTCTCTGAATAACAGGGTCCCAGTTTTAAGGAAAGTATCAATATCGTCACTGTCTACTTCTCCAGATTGTCACAGCATAATAGTATCTTGGAGCAGGACAAACTTTAGAAATCACCCAGTATGCAATTATACCCAGAGAAGTGGTGTGTCTTTGCCCACAAGCCCCTGGTCAGTTAATAGAAGATCTGGGCCTGAAAACCAGATGTCTTGACTCCATGTCCCAAGTTCTCTGAAGAGAGAAGAAGGAAGGTGATGGGGAAGAGTGCCAGAGTCTCTAACACAGGCTATTCCAGATGTGGTCCACTAGCACATGGCCTTCCAGTTGTGCCTGAAGAACACTAGATGTGATCTGAGGATTAAATGTGAAGAGATGTGAAAGTGCTCTGGAACCTGTAAATTGTTAGCCTGTCTCCCACATGTAAGGATGGTATTAGTATTAATTTGACTCTGCTGTACAGCCACAGGAAGCTCTTGGCCAACAGCAGTGTGAGTACATGGTACTGGTCATAAGAAGGCCTGAGTCACAGTTTGTGGCTGCCTCAGCACACATAGAAAAACCAGGCAAAAGCAGATCTGTAACATCACTGTGGTTGCTGAAAGGCAATGTCACAATGCCATGAAGACAGAAAGTGAAGTTGCCATTATTAATTAACGTGAGATAATGGCATTAAAAGATAAACCTTCAAGGTCAACCAAGGCTTACGGACATCAAAATTTCTACCCTCCTGCCCTGTCTTCTCTAAGTACCTCTTATGTTTTCCTGTCTGAGGTTTTTATCCTCCCTCTATGTGCTGAGGGTCTTCCCTCTTCCCTCTGCTTATCTAAAAGCCTCCATCTCTCAGGACAGGACAGGACAGGATATGGCAGGACAGGACAGGAGGGCTCTCACTGAGGCTTCACCTGAGTGAAGTGTGTGCTGGTGCCCACAATTCTACCACGCAGGTGACTTTGCTGTCTTATGCCGGGTCAGGGACCAACCACCACATTTTGTTCTGATGCAGGTGCAGCCAACTCCCCTTGTGGGCTTTAAGTTCTCAGAGATCGTCCCATCTTTGGTTAGCATGTCCATTGTGGTTACTCAGAAGAGACCTCAGCTTTTGCATCAACTTTCAGAGGTTTGTTTTCTTCATTAAATATCATGGTTATTTCATGCCAAATTTCTCCCAAGTCCATTGTGAACAGCACTGGAAGTTGTACTGTCTGTGCAGAGTGAGACAGAACATGCTGATGTTGCAGCTGCTGCCATTACCTCGGTTTTACAGAAGGTTTTACATTTTTTAGTGTAATTATAGACTTTTTGGTTACTTACAGGAAGTAATTATAAATACATATTTGCAACAGAATCAGCCTGACGTGCTTACTTTTCCATTAATAGAACACTGCACTTTTTGGAATGCATGTACCACCCTTTCCTTAGAGCTCAGCTGAAACTTTACCTCCCTATTAGGCTTTCCAGCCAGTATCTTTTTCCTCTAATTTTCCTTAGTTCTGTCTGCTCCACTCATTAAGGCCTACAGACCCTCTCTTATTGCTTCTGTTTATGTGTAATTACATGCTCCTTGAAGGAAAGAAGATTCAGCCATCCTTTCTTCTACCTAATACAAACTACTAACCTTGCAAAACAATCAACAGTTCTTATTTTTATCCCCACTGTGTAGCCTAGTGTTCACTGTAGTCAGAGTTTTGAGGGCTGGGGGCCTAATAGACAGTATCTCATTTCCCAGTTAAAGTGATGAACATCTAGAAAAATAAGACACAGGAAGTGAAGAGGTAAGAGCTGAGTTACTAAAGATTAAGTTGGAAGACACAACTCAGAACAAGGTGGTTGGGTGCCATCATCGTCCATTGAACTCAGGGTAGGTGGTGCTAGGTGAGAGCTGCCTCCTGCAGATGGGGAGAAGGCTAACCCCACAGAGTACTGGCAAAAGGATTATCATGTAGGCAGCTCACTCCCAAAGGAAGAAGGACAGAGTTACCAAACTTAATCATATTCATTTCAAATTGACCAATCCAAACATCAGTCTAGCTGTTTTGAGGCAGAATGGATGAAGGGACAGAGAGAAGTCAGGAGCCTTACACTGATAAATTCCCTCTGCACAGAAGGCCACATAAATAGGGAAGAACTATTTCTCCCCAACAATTATTTTTAAATTTGTAAAAATCTACCAAATTTTGAACACACCTCTTTCAAACCTTGTTAAATCCCAACACAATCTTCTTATCCATATATCATGAAACAATGAAAACAAAGAAGAATGATTTTACAACATCATAAAATGCTCATGTTACTAAGGATTTGATATGGTTTGGCTATGTTCAATCTCATCTTGAATTGTAGCTCCCATAATTCCCACATCATGGGAGGGGCCCGATGGGAGGTAACTGAATCATGGGGGCAGATCTTTCCTGTGCTGTTCTCATGATAGTGAATAAGTCCCAGGAGATCTGATGGTTTTATAAAAGGGAGTTTCCCTGCACACGGCCTCTTACCTGCGCCATGTGAGAAGTCCCTTTGCTCTTCCTTCATCTTCTGCCATGATTGTGAGGCCTCCCCAGCCATGTGGAACTGTGAGTCAATTAAACCTCTTTCCTTTATAAATTACCCAGTCTCGGGTATGTCTTTATTCGCAGCATGAGAACTAACTAATACAGAATTAATACGCCAACACTTTGCAAACTGTTCACTGGACTAAATCCTTTCTTCCCTTATGGCTGCATAAATACAACCTACCTATAATTCACCCCCACCTCTCCAGAGATTGGAGGAACTGCCTAAGTATGAATGAGGCCTGTTCATCTCACAGAGACTGGCAAGAAGGATAATATCTAAGAGGTTAATTAGGCCAATTCAGGTAATAAATTCAAAGCCATGCCCAGGATTTCTTAGGGTAAGGGAGCAACTTAGTTGATAAGGGAGGAGGCTAAGGTTTATAACTTAGTAGTTGATACTTTCTTTTTTTTTTTTGAGACAGTGTTTTGCTATGTTGGCCAGGCTGGAGTGCATTTGTGCCATCATAGCTCACTGTAGCCTCAAACTTCTGGGCTCACGTGATCCTCCCGCCTCAGCCTCCTAGGTAATTGGGACCACAGGCATGTGCCAGTACACCCAGATAATTGTGTATTTTTTGAAGAGACAGGATCTCACTCTATTGCCCCCAGAATGTTCTCAAACTCCTGAGCTCAAGAGATCCTCCCTCCTCAGCCTCCCACAGTGCTGAGATTATAGGTATGAGCCACCACACTTGCCTCTTATTCTTAAGAGCTCAAAGAATAAGCTTAGAGTTTGGAAAATAATGCTAACAGGATGTGTCCTTGGTGATCACCTTTGTGGATAAACAGTGAAATTTCCCAATAAGTAGGTATTGATCTCAAAAAGTGGAGGAATAAAAAAGGGCATTATATTTTGGAAAGAAAAGTAGAACAGGTGACAAGAAACAAGGTTAGGAACTGGGGTGGCTACAAGACTCTGCTTATGAAGCCTTAACCTTTGGGACTTTTTTGGACTATGGAAATATTAAGTGTATGGTCAATTTTTTACCTACAATATATCATAATTCTATTTGGTTTCTCCTCATGCTTAAGAATAGTCGGCTACAGCAGCCAGACTTATGGTGCAGGCATGGCCAAGTCCAAGAACCACACCACACGCAACCATTCCCAAAACTGGCACAGAAATGGCATCAAGAAACCCCAATCACAAAGACATAAATCTCTAAAGGAGGTGAACCCCAAGTTCCTGAGAAGCATGCACTTTTCCAAGAAGCACAAGAAGGGCCTAAAGAAGATGCAGGCCAACAACATCAAGGCCATGAGTGCAGGTGCCGAGGGTGCCAAGGCCTTCATAAAGTCCAATGAGGTTAAGCCGAAGATCCCAAAGGGTGTCAGCCACAAGCTGGATCGACTTAACTACATTTCCCACCCCAAGCTGGGGAAGCATGCTCGTGCCTGCATTGCCAAGAGGCTCAGGCTGTGCCGGCCAAAGGCCAAGGATCAAACCAAAGCCCAGGCTGCAGCTCCAGCTTCAGTTCCAGCTCAGGCTCCCAAACGTTCCCAGGCCCCTACGAAAGCTTCAGAGTAGAGATCTCTGTCTGCCAACATGAGGAATGAGGGACTGGTGTGATCCTCCACGGGCTGACGTCTGTATGGGCCTGGTGTCCTCCAGTGCTATCCTCCCGTGCGTTGACAGTTCTGCCATTACTCTCTTTACTGCCACCTCACAGGGTTATCAACATGTAGCTGAGGTTTGCATTATCTGTTCTAGTTATAAGATAGATCAGGTTATGCTACAATAATAGATAACTCCCAGTTCTCAGTAACTTAACCCAAAGTTCTCAGTGCTGTTTGTACAAATAAACCTGAGACAGGAAAAAGAAAAAGAAAAAGAAAAAAAGAATAATCAGTTATATATTTATAGCCCTCCGAGGTGGCAGTAAAGAAGGTAATGGCAGAAATGTCATTGATAGTGAGGCTTTATCCCATGTTCAATCACTACATCCTTGACCATCTCCTGCTCCACAGAAGCCTTTTTAGACATGGCAGTGCCACACCAAGGAAGAGAGGGGGAAACTATATATCTCAGATGAGTGGTAATTAGTGATCCCTCAGAAACAAACATGAACTAAATTGCCTCTTCTAAATATAGCATAGGGAAGTGATTCTTAATGGGGAGAGAAATCTGGCCTTTAGGTTATTTATGGAAAAGCCTCAACTGTCTTAATAATATAATCATGTATTTCCTTGCACATCATAGAAGGAATCATTTCATAACATCTGCATGTGTTTTATAAACAAACACAGATACTGACCATCAGCCAAGCAAGAGATGATCAGCGATTCTTTCATCAAAGCATATTGCAGAGTTGCTTCCTTTTCCTAATTTGTTTCTATGAATAATCTGCGGAGTTGTGCAACATGTACATGACACATGGAAATCAGAGTTATGACTTTTATGTAGACCACATTGTTTTTTTGCCTGTAAATTGCCTCCAAATGGCTTGAAAGAAACACTGCTTTATAATGCTTTCAAAAGAAGGGATACCTGAAAGCATTTACACTTAATATTTGGTAGAGCCTATTTCTGTGACCCTGCATCACACCATGGAGACAGGTGCTATCAGTTAGGGTTTCTGCGTAAGGAACACCCCCACTCAGGTATGAGAGAGTTTAGAAGTCTTGTGCTGTAAAGGTATAGCAAGAAAATATAAAAGCCAACTGATTGGAAGAAATCTGCAGCATCCTAAGAGTCACTGTAATTAAAACACAGCAGTTTGTAATTATTCTGAAGGAAAATAACATACTAAGAAAGGCACAGAAATACAATGTGGTTTCTCAAGGCCCTGTTACATTAATTCAAATTGACTTGGGCAGATATGAAATCCTTAGATGAGCTGAAAACTAGTTGGAAGGCCTGAAACAAAAGAAAATGCAATAAATTAGGTGGAAAGAGCAGATTTGGAATCACTGGAATATGGCTAGCTCTGCCACTGACTAACTGATTGACCTTTGGCAATTCATGAAACTTCTCTGTGACTGAAATTTTAAACTGGAAAACAGGATATTATTACTTAAACCTTGGGTTAAAAGAATGCGTGCAAAGGTTATTTTGTTTTCAAATGTTGTTCTTTTCCACGCCTCTTTCCTCACCTCTGCATAGTGACAGACAACCCCCTATCTCACTTCTCCACCAGGAACCTGCTTCATTTTCCTTTTTATATTCAAATTATTCCTTATCATAAGCTTCCTAGTTTACATATATTTTTTATGTTTCCTAAAGCCAGCATTCAATATCGTATTTTATTTTTGAACTATAAATAGACATTTTATTTGGATGACTTTTTCTATAAAATCATATTTTTTCTCAACTTTAGTTTTATATAATTTTATTTTTATTTAATTTTTACACTTCTCTACATATAAATTTTGTATTTTTAAGTTTTGAAGTTTTAATTATTATGGGTACAGAATAGATGTGTATATTTATGGGGCACATGTGATGTATTGTGTTGATACAGACACACAATATGTAATAATCACATCAGGGTAACTGGGGTATCCATCACCTCAAGCATGAGTTATGTGATTTTCCTATTATCTGGAAAGTATTTTTTATTCTGTGCAAGATGTTGTAGGTAGGCTACAATTACACTGATTATAAATTCATTCTGTCTGGATTTTGGAATTTATTAAAAGACAAACTTCTGTCCTCACAAGACCAGGAAAAAAAAAAAAAGAAAGACAAACTGAGACATCCAGCACCTTATATTTTTGTCTCTCCACTACCCCTTCAAAAGTATGTACTCATGTATGTTTATAACTTTCACACAGACTGAACGCATAACAACATATAACATACACTCATAATGTATTTGTATATACATGTGCACATCATTTTCAAATTAAGAACTTTTTTAAGAAAGGAAAAGTTTTCAGTAAAAATTTCCAACAGAAAATGGCTCAACATAACCCTGGAAAATATTTTTACATTAACCTGAAGGCAAAGGGTTACATCCTCATCATCTTTGCATTCCAGATTATCTTATGTAGTGCAATATAAGCATTAGATTAAACAAATACTTGTTGAGGTTGATGTGATCTTTGAAACAACAGTATTTTGGTAGGTTTCTTGAGATTCTGAAGGAATGGGTAATGTAAACAGGCCAGATGTTCTCCTGAGGTTTGCCTTATATTTTCTAGTTATAAGATAGGTCAGATTATGCTACAATAATAGGTAACTCCCAGTTCTCAGTGACTTAACCCAAAAAAGGTTGATTTTTCTATTATAACCATTTGGGGGCATAGAAGACCCTCCAAGGTAACTGTGCTTCATGTGGTAATTCAGTGATGTTGCCTTGATCTTGTGGCTCCACAATCTCAACAAAAGGCATCTTCCACTATCACCCAGAGGGAAAACAGAGCTCTGGGCTGGAGGCTCTGGCAGTAGTAAATAAATGGTTTGGCTTGGCATGATACACATCACTCTGCCTGCAGCCCAGCAGTGCTTGTGGCATTGCTCCACCTACATGCCATGGACTAGGGAAATAGGGTCAATCTATCCTTTTGTACCAGAAGAAGAGACCTCATGTTATGAAATTCATAACAGTATCATAAGGCTTTAAGATGAAGAAATCATAAAAAAGGAATTGATGAAGAAACTCCTTAGTCATAATAAATATAACAACAAATCTTAGATGCCAATTATAAAGTTTGCCAAATTCTGAGCTTGAAAACATTTTATTTAACTAAATGAAAACTTACTTTAAAATCAATGGGAACTTATTTTAAGACAACTTTTAAATGCCACATGCCTGTGAAGAAGGCCATTGGTAGCTTGATGGGGATAGTGATGAATCTATAAATTAGTTTGGGCAGTATGCCCATTTTCACGATATTGATTCTTCCTAACCATGAGCATGGAATGTTTCTCCATCTCTTTGTGTCCTCTCTTATTTCCTTGAGCAGTGGTTTGTAGTTCTCCTTGAAGAGGTCCTTTACATCCTTTGTTAGTTGTATTCTTAGGTATTTTATTCTCTTTGTAGCAATTGTGAATGGGAGTTTGCTCACAATTTGGCTCTCTGTTAGTCTGTTATTGGTGTATAGAAATGCTTGTGATTTCTGCACATTGATTTTGTGTCCTGAGACTTTGCTGAAGTTGCTTAACAGTTTAAGGAGATTTTAGGCTGAGATGATAGAGTCTTCTAAATACATAATCATGTTGTCTGCAAATAGAGACAATTTGACTTCCTCTTTTCCTAACTGAATACCCTTTAATTTTTTTTCTTGCCTAATTGCTCTGGCTAGAACTTCCAATACTATCTTGAATAGGAGTGGTGAGAGACGGCATCCTTGTCTAGTGCTGGATTTCAAAGGGAATGCTTCCAGTTTGGGCCATTCAGTATGATATTGGCTGTAGGTTTCTCATAAATAGCTTTTATTGTTTTGAGATACATTCCTTCGATACTTAGTTTATTGAGAGTTTTTAGCATAAAGGGCTGTTGAATTTTGTTGAAGGCCTTCTCTGCATCTATTGAGATAATCGTGTGGTTTTTGTCTTTGGTTTTGTTTATGTGGTGGATTACATTTATAGACTTGTGTATGCTGAGCCAGTCTTGCATCACTGGAATGAAGCCTACTTGATGGTGATGGATAAGCTTTTTGATGTGCTGTTGCAATTGGTTTGCCAGTATTTTATTTAAGATTTTTGCATCTATGTTCATAATGGATATTGGCCTGAAGTTTTCTTTTCTTCTTGAGTCTCTGCCAGGTTTTGGTATCAGGATGATGTTGGTTTCATAAAAAGATTTGGGAAGGATTCCCTCTTTTTATATTGTTTGGAATAGTTTCAGAAGGAATGGTACCAGCTCCTCTTCGTACATCTGGTAGAATTCAGCTGTGAACCCATCTGGACCTGGACTTTTTTTGGTTGGTAGGCTATTAAGTGCTGCCTCAACTTCAGCCCTTGTTATTGGTCTATTCAGGGTTTCAACTTCTTCCTGGTTTAGGCTTGGGAGGGTGCAAGTGTCCAGGAACTTATCCATTTCTTCTAGGTTTACTGGTTTATGTGTTTAGAGTTGTTTGTAGTAATCTCTGATGGTAGTTTGTATTTCTGTGGAATTGGTGGTGATATCCCCTTTATCATTTTTTATTGCATCTATTTGATTCTTCTCCCGTTTCTTTTTTATTAATCTGGTTGGCGGTCTGTTTTGTTGATCTTTAAAAAAAAAAAAAAACAGCTCCTGGATTTATTGATTTTTTGAAGGGTTTTTTGTCTCTATCTCCTTCAGTTCTGCTCTTAGTTATTTCTTGTCTTCTGCTAGCTTTTGAATTTGTTTGAGCTTGCTCCTCTAGCTCTTTCAATTGTGATGATAGGGTGTCAATTTTAGATCTTTCCTTGCGTCTCATGTGGGCATTTATTGCTATAAATTTCCCTCTAGACATGGCTTTAAATGTGTCCCAGAGATTCTGGTATGTTGTATCTTTGTTCTCATTGGTTTCAAGGAACGTCTTTATTTCTGCCTTCATTTCATTGTTTATCCAGTCAACATTCAGACGCCAGTTGTTCAGTTTCCATGAAGCTGTGCGATTCTGAGTTAGTTTCCTAATTCTGAGTTCTAATTTGATTGCCCTGTGGTCTGAGAGACTGTTGGTTATGATTTCCATTCTTTTGCATTTGCTGAGGAGTGATTTACTTTCAATTATGTGGTCAA